GACCATGCTGACCTGTTTTTGCAAGCTCTTTGTTGTACGTGACAATTTGAGAAAAGATTCGACTAGGTGTAACGGAATCGCAAAAGCGGACTCTTAAGATTTTGATAAGTTTTCTAGTTCCATTAATGAACTTGCGTCCTGTGATTAATTTAGCATCAACTACTTCTTTGGGCGGCATAATTTTCATATCACTCATGATTTTCGTAAATTTTTGCTTAGGTCCGATACTTCCATTTTCAATTTCTTCGGCTTCCTTCTCATCGACAAGAATAATGTTGACGAAAAGACCATCAAAAGCACAATCTTTTGCGACTTCAAGTGATTGGATACGAGTTTTCAAGTCATTATGTGAATCGGTCAAATTTCCAATACCATTAGACAGGTTATCAATTGATTTGCTGCTTGACTGGATAACAGCAGAAGTGTCGTTATGACTGCGCACTAGTTTATTATGACATTGCAAAATTTTATCACTGTCTTCAACACATTTAGTTACATCTGATAAGATATCAAGTAAGACATTTTTTATTTCATGTACTTCTTTAATTTCTGATATTTTAGCCTTCTTTTCCTCTAGTGATTTTCTTCTAGTTTCGAGGACGCTCACCATTTGAGAGAGTTCAGGTATTTCAGCAGGATTCAAGACCGTGGATTCAAATGACATAGTTGAAGAGAAACTTTCATTCTGATTTGATGTACTAGGAGTCAAGAAAAAGTTTTTAATGTTTTTCTGCGTGTTGTTGCCTTTTGATGCATTTTTGCTGTTGCTATTATTTTCCTTTTTCGACTGTGATGTCTTTTGGCTGCTAAGCAATGAATTAAGGAAAGAGCTATTTCCATCCTTTTTTGTCAATTTATCAGGCATTTTCAGTTAAACGTCCTTTTGTGATTTGAATTATTTTTTTTTCCCGTGGATAGTGCGCCTTTTGAATTTATTTTTTTTTAACGTTTTTTTTTTTAACTAACTTCTTAGCGATCACGTGATGAGTATGCCAATGTTTTCACTGGATCTTGCGTTTGATTGTTCTTGGTTAATATTTTAATTAATAAGGTTTTAAGTAATTATTTGTCTGGTAACGAAATCGCATGTATTCAAAGAATACGCATAATTTTGTTCAGTCACAAATAAACTGATAAAACCCTAATTAAATTTGATATTACCAGCAAGACGGTACAAACAAAAAATTGCAGAATTTTTTTTTTTGAGGAAATTTAATTTATCAATTTTTTTCACTTAATGCGCAGTTTAATTAATTCACATTCAACTGAAGATGATCTTTGTGAGCTAGAGCACAGTTTTCGACATAACTTAATTACCAGTACGGAACATAACTATTTAAAAAAACAGAGAATTATTAAGAGCAATTAATCACGTCACGACTTGACTTGAGAAGTTATTTCTTTCAAAAATGACAAATCGATCGTAGAATTAAATCGAAAATTCTATAGGGTAAAAGAAGATTTCGATATGTCAATTCAGTTATGTTGCCAATGTCTTCGTCAATGAACGTATAAACGCGACAGCAGACGTGGAAAGATGTGACACACATCTATCTCATGAAATTGAATCTTATTCACTGATAAGTATTTTGAATTCAAAAATAATGTTCGACTTTTGAATGTTGAAGTTTAACATGTTTTGGGTTATTTTGGATATGCTCATATATACGAATGAGTATAATTCAGATCAGCGTGAGGAGTTATTCAATTATTAATTGCATTTAATTTAAGAGATCATTCCCAAGAGGCTTATTGAAATTTTTGTCGATCCAACACTGAACTGAACTTGAAATGATATTTGACTGACATTCAAGTGTAAGAACTTGTAAGTTTTCAGTAATCTACAACTCATCCCAATTCAATTTCGATTTACGTATTCACCTTGACACTTATTTGAACTGTCTACAACTATTCATAGATCCTTAAATTGATAGAATATCAAATCAATTGCCATAATCCGATCAATAATCTTTAATACTCTAGAGCTCAAAAATTCCAAACAAATTCAAAAGTCGGCAAAAGTAATTTAAAGTTTACGACGTGTAAAGTATGACAAAAAAAATTCTGTGTCAAACTTTGCTTCTTTTATTAAAAAGTTGGTGCACCTTGGGTAAAATCACAGTCGTAGAACAAAGATTTAAATAAGCAGAAAGTGAACTGGAACAATAATTTTATTCTAAGAAGTGATTTTAGGGACGGTCGGTAAACTGTGTTTCTGGCTAAGCTAATCATATTTGGGTTACAAAGAATTCTCGTCAAACCGCAATCCTTCCCCACAGGCAAATTCGGTTAGGAAATTAATAATTGAAATTCATTGCCTTTTTCATGAAAATTATCGATAACGGCAAAAAAGAATGCTGATTTAAAATTTAAATGCTTCATCCCAAAACTCATCATTTAAAATGAGAAAAAAATTTAATTTAAATCGGATATTTATTTTAAAATTTATTTGATTTTTTTAAATCCACAAATTTACAGTTACAGATTTCGAATTACCGATAAAATGAAATTAATTAGGAAGTGCTAAAATGATTATTTTTTCCCAATAATCCAATATAAATTGCTGTGACTAATTAGTGACTATTGAAAATGAAGAATACAAAGAATTGGACCAATGACACACATTCATATCCATAGCTTGTTATCATGAATTGAAAAACAGTTAGGAAGAAATAAACTTCACAGAATTGTGAGAATGTAAGCCAGCCAGAGGATAGAAACATACCACAAAAATATTCTGTCATGCATATGTAAATTAATGAACAAATGATGAAAATGAATGGAAAAATAATTTGGTTAGTAGAACATTTGTAGGAAATTGGAACGAATATATATATAGTCGAGTGCGATGTGTTATAATAATTATGAACTTCAATACAGTTCCCTCTTTGTTGAATGATAATTGGATTAGCATGATTTCATTCTCAAATAGCCGGAATTTTCGTAAATACGGTATATTCATTTAAACTGAATAGAATATAATCATTATGATACTATAGTTCAATTAATAAATTAGTGAATCCACAAATTCTTTCTACCAAGTAGACTGCATAAAATAATTGAAGCCTTTGACTGTGGTTTATGATTGAAATGCACAATTCATTGGATGGTATTAATGTAATGGATTCTTCAAAGGAACTAAAAGAGCTTTAGTGCAGATGAAATTCTCAATCTTGAAAATAGTAACTTGATAAGAGTCTTTTGAAATTAATTGACAACAACAAAACCTAAATGATTTCAAATCTTAAAGGATTTCGATTCTTGTGTTGCTTTACACCAGTGTTACTTAATTCTCGACTTTACTATAGAAAAAATCATAGTTCGCTTAGTTTTTAACTTAATTTTAGATGAAAAATATATCTTAAAATTTTAGAGCTGATTTAACTCAGAAAATCGAACATAAATTCGTCGAAAATCACAAATCTGGCGATGCACTAAGTTTAGGAACCACTGGTCTACATAGATACGAATTATATTAAATTATCAGAAGATAAATATCCTCAAAGACTTCATTCTATCCTCAGGTATTTATTGTAATTTGAGCTTTCATGTAAATCTTTTCATGCTGACCTAAAGATATAGAAAATTTGCAAACATTTAAATATTAAATTCACAAATAATTAAAGCTTAAAGATTTAAATTTTGCAATTCTTAGTAATCATGATCAAATGTGCAAGATAAAGTAAAATTACAATTCATTCAATACTAAGATGAACTGTGAGCTACACAAAAATTTCAAATGAGATAAGGAACTCGGTGTGTGATGAAAGCGATCAGGATATCAATTGCATTTGTAAAAGTGGAACCTTTAAGTAAGCTTGAGTAAGATTTTTTTCAACTATAGGTAAAAAATTTCCATGTGACGTCATTTATGAACAACAAACCACTAGTGAAAATTTGATTTCAATTCCAATTCTATTTCGGTTCTAGAATCAGAATTTAAATTAAACGAATCAATTCTAAAATTGTAATTGAAATTCATCCTTGAAATTTTACGAATAACTTGATGTTTCAACAGGAACTGAACACAAAATGAAGGCAATTACTGCATAATTAAGTTAAATATGAGCATATAATCCAAAATGGACGTAAAGGAACTAACGGAACTGCTTGGTTCCTCATGAAACGTTGAGAAATGCAGAAATTTTTTTTGGACATGTCCAATTGACTGAAACTGCCAAAAAAAGTAATTGCCTTCATTTTGTGTTCAGTTCCTGTCGAAACATCAAGTTATTCGTAAAATTTTAAAGAAAAATTGCAATCACAATTCCAGAATTGATTCGTTTAATTTAAATTCTGATTCTAGTATAGAAATAGAATTGGAATTGAAATCAAATTTTATTTAAATTCTTATTAAAATTCTAGAATTTTTTCAATACAATTTCGATTCTAGAGTTTTAATCAGAATTTTAATTCACTACAAACCACTCATGTTTCTTCAGATTATGAATTGATATCCTAAAAAAAGATCAAACGTTGTCAATGACATTTAGGATTTAAAAGCTTTCTAAAGCAAAAATTCAAAAATTGTTTAAAGTCTACACGTGAACCAATTTTTTCCATTCTGACTTTATCAATTCCACGTGACAGGATATTAAAAAAAATTAAGTTTTAAAATTCTGCTAAAAATATTTTTAATCTATAATAATCCTCAAATAGGACAAAAATGTTGTGTTTTTGAAATCCGCTCACTTTATTGAAATTAATTTTTTTTTTACTTTTCCGTTTCACTTTGACTTCCATGCTTTTTGGTATATATAATAAATATTACGTTCTATAGAAATCAATATAACGGAATCGCGGCTCATGATGTAAAAAAAATTCTCATATTGATGAATTTTCATTTTATTTTTCTAGGTTCTTGTGCATTAAAGCATCCAAAGTGGGGGTAGTAAGCACCGTACACAACCGAAATGTAAAGGTTTGGAGTGGGAAATCAATTGAGAATTTTTTTTCATCTCTTCCCTTGCGTCCAGTTTCAGTTTTGGTGCTTTGAAATTCTGTTCTGTGTGTTGTTCGACACATACTTTTTTCACTTTAACGCTTGTTGTTTATTTTACCGCATTCTCAATCACTTTTAGTCCACAAATGAGAGTTGAGTGAAACAACCTTTGATGAATAACACATTTAAAGGTTTAAAGATTTAGAACGTTTGTTGGTTGTAATAGAAAGTGAGTGGACGACGGTAGAGCATTTTTATTTTTGCCAATTCATTCAGTCGTTCGTTCACAAACAGGAACAATAGGAACGTATAAATTATTTGTGTGAATATTTCTTGGATATTGAAATATCATCAGTTATTAAAATAAGCTGTGGCTGATGGTCATAAACAAAATAGGAATAAAGTGAAAAAGTTCATAGCCCAAAAAAAGCATAGAAAAAGCACAAGAGGGTGTCGAGTAAAGTTTGGTGTTTATTTTACTTCAAACGTAAAGAAGTGCAAACAATTGAAAAACGCGATAAAAAAAAGTAATTTTCAAGAACTTACGATTCCTGAATAAGAAGGAATAAAAACGAAAATATTTTGTTTTCTTTAACATCAAAATTGATAACGGAGGATTTTTAAAAGCTTTCAATTTTCCGCATCATTCTTTTGAAAACTTTCCTTTCGTCGAGCGAGTGAGCGACTGAAAAATATAAAGACAAAAGTTAGACATTTGCATAAAATTATCATTTTTGTGATTTCACCATTCATAAATTCTTTTCTGCTTTTGTTCCTTCTTCTTCATTACATGCTGTGGACATTTGTTGTCTGAAAAGTTCGTTGAATTTTATTTTGAAAATTTTTATGATTTTTCAAGAAATTCAAATATTTTTTGACGGTTATTAAAATAGTTTTTTTATGCTAGGTTCAATAGCATGCGAGAATGAGGAAATGCGCGACTTTAAAACTGAATGTTTATCAATTTGTGAATTTTTTTTTGATCTTTTTATTCAATTTTGAACCTTTTTGATCAGCTTAGATGAATTTTTGATCTTTTTGTTCAATTTTGAACCTTTTTGATCAGTTTTGATGAATTTTGAACATATTTGATCAATTTTGAACTTTTTTCCAACAGTTTTGATAAATTTTGAACCATTTTCATCAGTTTTAATCAATTTTGAACATATTTGATCAATTTTGAACTTTTTTCCAACAGTTTTGATAAATTTTGAACCATTTTCATCAGTTTTGATCAATTTTGAACATTTTTGATTAATTTTGAAAATTTTTGATTAATTTCGAAAATTTTTGATTAATTTTGAACTTTTTTGATTAGTGTCACACCCTTGTTCAGGATTAACGGTCAAAAAATATTTGAAAATTATTGAACAAAACAAACTTTTGAAATTTTTAACGATTAATTCATTTTGACTTGCGAAAACTTTCAAATTTCAATGATTTTTTCCGTCATGTCCCCAGCATGTCTCATCCTACAACTGTTTTTCTTTCCTACTTTTCTCATTTATTATTTGTTCATCCACTTCTTTATTTGTAGAAGGAAAAGTTCTCTTATTTTGTTCCGTATAATAAAATAATTAAAAGCGACAATAAACATAACAACTGGCATCACGCAATATATTTTAACCGAACCAATTATGGATGCTGGAAGGTTTACGATAATTCTTTACTTGCTTTCGACAATGCTCTTAATTAATAGCGCGATGAGTTATGATAAGCAACAAAATGTGAGTCAAATTAACAATGTAAAGGATGTCACAACCGAGTGGATGAATAAAGCATTCGTAGCCACAACACCAAGAGCAATTAAAACGAGGTTTGTAAAGTAATTTTATAATTATTATTATTATTATTATTATCATCAATTATGATCATCAGCACAAAAGACTGTTCGTTGTCGAAAGTATATTTAAAGTTTATTTTTGCTTAATAATCGATATGATTTATTGCACATAAATTATCTCGCCTGACATGAATAATGAGACTCCAATGAGACAAATGAGAGCGTGCAATGAGAGAAACTCACCACTGCTTTGTGGTGAAAATGAGATTTTTCAAACTCAACGGAAGACAATTTTCTGACATTTGTTACAATTCATAAAACCCTCCATACCGACATGGCTTATGAATAGAGGAAGGAAAAAATTAATTTACATTTACATATCTCTGTGCAAACATTCGTTTGTGTGGATGTGGATTATGTTATGAAAGTTTTTTTTAAATGTGAATTACATATGAAGAATTATAAAGGGACTTTTATATCTATAAATAATTTTAGTGATATTTGGTAACATAGAAAAATATAGAAATTAGTTTATAGTCCTAGTCAGTCATGACTAAAAGTATAGCGCATTTTCAAGCAAGTTTCTTCTTTATTTTTTGATTCTACAGATTAAAGCTATTTTTAAGAGTTGTCTGGGGCTTAACCCTCTTTACTTCTTTAGTCCCTCTTTGAGATATCTTAGTATGGCACTTTTATGTCATGTTAAAAACTTGAGAAACTGCTCAAAATGACCAAAAATTATTAAAATCAAGTTTATCTGATTCATATTTTGCTGTAAAGAAGGTTCTGATAATTAAATGTAAAATCTGTTACAATGGTTGTGGGGGGAGGGGGGATTAGACGGTACAATAGATTCTATCATCGATCAGGATCGTAGTGCCTTCAGCTCGTCGCAACGTGTAGTAAAACACCGCCAGGCTAGAACCCTTTCACTTTATTAGGGGGAAGGGGGGGGGGGGTATTTTTTGAAAGAAAGTATTTTTTGTTTGACTCATTAGGGTTTGCTCACTTATTAAATAGCGCGAAAAAAGGATTTTCGTAAAATTCTCTGCTATAATTGATCTTACATTGAATCTGATTAATGATTTTCATTTATAGCTAGATTAAGTACCTTCCTTAACATTTCATGATGCTTAATTATGTAAAATGGAGAAGATAATTAAACTTTTCTTTTACATGGAAAATTTAGACATTTTGAAACTCAAAATTTTCATATTTTCTGACTCATTTTTGATCAGATCTTGATAGATTTATAAAGTAAATCATTTATAATTATAGTTAAAAACTCTTTAATAAAGGTAAAGCATAGTTAAATACATTAACTATGTGACGATAATATATGTAACACATATGTAACGCTAGGAAAATACGATATAAATTGCCCGTTACATATATGTAACGCTAGTTTTTTGCAAATATTTTAGCGTTTCGGATTAAAAATGTAGTTTAATTATTTAAATTAATTTGGCTATGAAGTAAGCCAAATCATTTTGTGCATAGCTTCCTTATGATAAGAATAAAGTATTCAGTGGCAAAATTATTAAAAAGAGTGCTTCAAAGAGGATTTTTTGATGATTGAAAAAATTTACATTAAAAAATTAAGAGAAAATTTTAAAGTGATTTTTTTATGGTTTAGACTGATTTCGGGTGTTTCAAAGTGCATTGGTTAATAAAATAAAATGAAAATAACGAGTTGGTGAGGTCCTAATGCTGAGAAATGTTTCATTAAAAAGATATGACATAAAATAAAAGTGTAAATAGATTAGAGTTTTTTTCGTTTTTCTATACATTAGAGTATTTAAATTAGACTCTAATTATGTTAAATAACATATAATTAATAACAAAGTATTGCATTATGGACATAAGTTTAAAAAAAAGGTAAAATAAAAGAATTAAAATTTTTGGAAGAAAAAAATTTTTGCTTGCAAAATCCTAGCGTAACATATATGATACGGACAAAATTTGTTAATTCTATTAAATCTATGCATTAATTTGAGCCAAACTCTTCGTCAAACTTATTTTTATACTGCAATTCATCAAATAAATGCACTCTAATGTCCCAAAAAAATTCCGTAATTAACGGGTTAATCAGTTTCGCACTCTTGACTTTTCCGATATCTCAGTTCCATCTCTCCTCTAAAAGCGTTACTTAATGGACGATCGGCCCCTAATAATTAAAGGAACAGACAGGACGACGCATTACATTCAGAAAAATTTTTTTATTGAAAAATTGCCCCAAAAAAAGTTTAAATACAACTTCTATGAAGGATCAACTTTGCAAACTTTAATGAAAATTCAAAGAGAAGCTTTAGTACATATGTTAAAGTACCTAAACTAGATATTTACGTTCTTATCTTTTGAAGTTCACGACTTGTAAAATGTTAGTCAAGGGATTTATATAAAAAAAACTTACCGAATCGAGAACTATTTTTTGCTTTTTGCTGCTTTCTTTTATTCGGAAATACCAGCAGAAAAAAAAATATGCTGAAATGAGAGAAAGTATCAGTTTTACGTTTTAAAAAAAGGAATATGTAAAACGATTAGGGAATTTGGTATGGAATCTGGGAATTTGAAGGAAGCAGAAATGCTGAAAAACAGAATCATGGAAAAGTCATGGGATCATCAGATAGATAGAAAGTTAAGAAAATGTGAATGAGTGAGGCTAACCTGACTTAAAAAAAATCTCTGGCATGTGACATTCACCTTGTAGATTTATGTCGCTCTTTGGAAATGAATATTTTGAACATGCTGAATGTTTGAAAGTTATTTGTCAAGTCCTCCCCACGAAACAGAATGTACGACAGTTCTTAATATCACTTTTCTCAATCCCATTCCCATTTCTGTTGTGTTTAATTCCATTGTCGTTGACATAAGAATTCACGAATGGAATTTAGTCAAATTAAAATGATGAAGAAGCACTCTCATGTTAACATTAATGTAATTTAAAACTACACGAGATGGAAAAATCATCAACAATATTTCCTGACCAGGGAGGGACTTAGGAGGGGGCCTTACATCCAACCTACTTACATTTCTTAGGTATTATATTTTTTGGTGAAAACTTAAGTCAAATTGTGCTCTTTAATATCATGCTTCACATCAGTGAAGGAGGAAGGATAGGTTTGACCTGGTTCTTTAACTTAGTTCCAAAAAACTTTAAATCCGTATCAGGGATTGAGGGTAAAACTATATCCACGATGTCACAAACTTTTGATTCAATTTGGCCAACCTCAATTGAAATCTATGTGCATAAAGATATAATAAGAACCTAGACCCAACTACAAACCTGCTCCTGACTTACTTCACAGTGCCTCACATCGGAATAAAAAAATAAATAAACAAGACAAACGTAGCTGCATCCGAAACAATTTCATTTTAATTCTAAAACAGTAAAAGAATTAAATTTTAATTTCATGCTTACCTTCGTGTTGCTGCTACCTTCCTACCTTTAAACTTCACCTAAAAAGTTTCTTTGATGACTCTTCAAAGTTTTTCTTTCTTCTACTTTGGAGTTTTTTTGCTGCTTATTTTCTTCAAGCTACAACTTTTTTAATTTTTTTTTCGTTCGCCATCTGAATGAGTTTGTGTAACCAATTTTGACTCAGTTATTCTCGATCTAAGCTCTTACATGTTATGTAATTAAGCGTTCTTTGTTCTCATGTTAATCTTCTTATTATGGTGACCTACATTAACATGTTATTCTATACAAGCGCATTGTTTAGCGGTAATTAATTTTTTTTTTCAAGAATTTTTTAATGCTCGGATTTTCTGCTTTTTATTTTGTTCTGTGTGCTTTGCTATGGTTAATAATCTAGGGGAGCATATGAATTTCCTTTTTCCTAATTTTCCATAGAAAAGGCTTAAATACAATTTTATGAAATTTCTTAATATTAAGAGGATCCATGAATAGATAGTATTTAAAGAAGCGAATCTTATAGGAGAGAATATATATGTTTCTAGTTCTGATTGTGCTGCTTTAACGATCTTCAATTAACTGTTTACAGAAACATCCTGCAAAGATTTTTCTTGTTTTTTTTTTCCAAGAATCCATAAAAATATTATTTTTAGGGTTTTCAATCCCGGTCCAAATTTTCAATCCCGGGATTACGGGATTGAAAATTCTCGATCCCGGGATCCCGGGGAATCCCGGGATTAAGAGATTATTGAAATTTTCAATAAATAATGCATAAAATCTTCGTTTAAGAGAAAAATTCTTATTTTATATCAAAGTATTGAGTGATATTTTCGTGAATTTTCAAATTACATTTTCATTTGTTTTTGTAAACAAACAAATTGCGTAACAAAAATTCAAAAAAATTAAAACCGTTTGAAAATTTAAAACTCCATTTTGTTCATTTAAGGTTTTTACCACAATAATTTAAAAAAATTTTTTAACTCATATATAACAGAGTAAAATTTCTGATCTTAAAAATACATTTCATGAAACATCAATAAACAATAACGAAAATTTAACAAAATTCCTGAAGATTGGACGTTAGTTACGCTTAATCGCAGTGATTTTTTAGCAACTGCTTTACTTTAGGAAGTGAGTTGTTAAAATATGTGAAATCAGTAATTTTTAAGTGTAAAAATAAAATTAAGAAAAACAAACCGTCACTTACATACATTTTTTTGTTATGAGGCATATTAACAAAATTTCAGTGAGTATTGTGCACGTCAGTGGTATTTTGTAGTTTTTAAAAGCAATAAATCAAAATTTCAATGATTTTGAATTATTTGTATTTCTTGCGAACGAATTTTTTTACAAAATTTAAGAATTTTTTTAAAAAATTTAAGAATTTTTTAAAATTTTTTTAACTATTAACTCAATCCCGTAATCCCGGGATTGAAGCTGGTTTCAATCCCGGGATTGCGGGACCAAAAAAAACGCGGGATCCCGGGATCCCGGGATCCGGGATCCCGGGATTGAAAACCCTAATTATTTTGCTGCAAATTCCGTCGAGATTTGTCAAAAACATTTTTTGACTGTTATGGGCCTTAAGCATTAACTTCTCGAGAAATGCTTTTGAAAT